ATAAATTTAATAAACTGTTTCTCCTTTTTGTAGTAGTAAGATTATGATAAATTCTGATTTCTTATAAAACTTAATGAATTTATTTATTATGATTTTTAATACTAAACTTATAATAAATTATGATTTAGTATAAAATTTAATAAATTTATTCTGATTTTTTATACTAAATGTAGAATATGATTTATTATAAAATTTAATATAAATTTTCTGATTTGAATCAATATTTTAAAAAATACTAACTAGTTAATATTTTATTACTTGAAAAATATTTTATGTTTTATATTATAAAGTAATTAATTTATTCTTTTGTTTTTATATTTTGTTAATTCTTTCTTATAAATATTTTATTTGAAATATTAAATAGAAATTATTAATGGAATAATTTATATTAATATACTGTATTATATTAATATAATATACTAATATATTATATTATTAATGTACATTAGTCGACATCTTGTCGACATTATCGACATCATGTCGACATAATAGAAAAAACCGTCTTTTTTTTGGTTATTTGGGCCGATTTGGTCGACATTTCCGAAATATAGGAAATGTCAACCGAAATAATGTAATTTTTATATTACCATCCATTTTCATGTCGGAGCCTCAACATCGACATATGTCGGGCAACATTAGCGACATTTCGCGACATTTGAAACCATGCACCATCTTAGTAAAAAACTAAAACATGAATAGAACAACATCAAATAAATTTAACAAGAGACAAGGAGTAATACTTACACTGTTGCAAAGATGAGAAGTACCTTCCTTGGGTTGATGGCAGTAAGATGATTGAATCGCTTACACCGTCCATCACTAGTGTCAATGAGACTGGAGCCACTAAGGGTCATTGTAACTGGAGCCATAGCTTTGTTGGTGACTAATGGTTGCTTTAATGACTCCAACTGTGAATTCACTGCACAGGTACATAGAATGAATACATTATCATGATTTCTTTCTGGATTTCAGTATGCTTTAATCTCGATAACCATGCAATATCACTATATCAGTGCCAAAATAAGGAACACATGCAGTGCAAAGGATGTTAGAACCAACAAAATGATGAGTCCAAAGCATCTTGTGTGTATTAAAAATACAGGTCAGATGAAGATCTTAAATTAAAGATTCAAAATTTCATATTTTCACAAGTTTTAGTTTTAAATTAAAAATAATTTAAGGAAAAAAATAAATATGCAGAAAAAAAAATTGAATAGAAAAGAGAAGAGAAGAGAAGATAGGAAGAATGAAATCAAAATTGGAAGAGAGAATCATATGGTCTCAGCCTTTTCACAAATTATTTATGTGTTAATATAAGAGGACAAGAATAACTGGTCCTGTGAGACAAATATTCAACACGCTACCTCAAGCTGAGCATAGATCTTAAACATGTTAATGCCCAACTGGCCAAGATTATGTTCTTAGACTTTACTATTCCCTTGGTTAGAAAATTTGTCAACTGTAGCTCTGACTGGACAAAGGAAAACAAACTTCACTACAAACAACCCTTGGATAAAAAATCTGTGAACTTTATTCTTAGTTCTGTCATACTGGACAGAGTCATAGGTTATATTTATTGCAGCTTATTGTCATAATATAACACCAGGGGTGTTTCAAAATTACAGAGGAGGGGAGATAAACTTTCTTAACTCCCCCAACAAAGGCAAAAGCCCTCAAAATGAAAAAACCAAAATTACAACTGAGCCCAGAATAAAGATTCCCTAGTCACCGTTTGCTTTGCTAACCCCTCTGCAAACGAATTAACAGATCTCATCACCCAGCTGTACTTTATTTCCATGTCCTTGGCCAACCACCTGATTTTTTTTCCATTCATTGGTGTAGTTCCATAACCCAGACTTGTCTTCTCTCAACCACCCTACTACCACCTCCAAGTCCCCTTCAATTACAAGCCTCCTAATATTCATTTTCTTGGCCCTTTGAACACCTTCCAGAGCCACAAATATCTCATCCCTGAGAGAGTCACCTGCTCCAATTGGGCCTGAGAACATGGCTGGAACGATTCCATTCTCATCCCTAAATACACCCCCAATGCCTGAATGCCCAGGGTTCCCTCTACTGCTGCTATCGAAGTTCAACTTTACAAAACCAGTGGGGGGAGGGATCCAAGACTGACAAAGAGTCATTTTCACCTGGGCAGAACTAGCACTCTCTTTCTACTTCCTCAGCAAATCGTCCACTATAAAATCTGTAAATAACTCCGGGGACTTCAGCCAATGTACCACCCTTAAGTGAATCAATTCGATCAGACTTCCACAGTTACTCTCTTTCTCAGAGAAAATTCTTGAATTCCTTTCTTCCCACAATGTCTAGCATACAACAGCTCTTAGGCACCGCCACATGGTCCTACCCCTCTTCAGATGCCACCTGAAAAAAGAAGAGAAAAGACTTTGCACATTCAAAGGGGGATTCCACCTACACCCAAAAAGAGAAAAAGCCCATTCCCAAATAGCTTTGTCAAGCTGGCAAGAAACCAACAGGTGATAACCAGTTCCCCCATCAGCTTTACATAGAATACACCTATGAGGAGATAAACACATCTTGGGTCTGTTTCTTTGAAGCAGATCACTAGTGTTGATTCTTTCCAGGAAAGTTTTCCCAACAAAAACTCCTAACCCTAGGAGGAATTGGCTTACACCAAATCTCTTTAACAGGGAAGGATAAACCGATTGAGCTGGAAGGCTGAGTTAAGACTTTGAAGAAAGAGGCACAAGAGAAATAGCCCAAGGGGGTGGGGTCCAAATTCTGGAGTCTTCCTTTGTGGAGTCCAAAAAAACATTTTCAAGAATAGCCAGGAGAGACAGGGTGTTGTCCAGATCTATATCTCTAACAACCCTTCTCAGACCCAAATTCCAACCAAACCTAGTGTTTGAAGATGAAGGGACAATATAGGAAGAGATAGGTTCATTTTTCAACTCAAAGAGAGCAAAGAGGGATGGAAATTGATCCTTCAAAGCAGAATTCCCCACCCAAGTTTGTTCCCAAAATTTTATGAGGTTGCCTGAGTTTAATTTATACCTGATGAGGGGGGAGAAAACTAGTAACAAGTCATGGATTGCTTTCCAAGGTGAGGCACATGTAGTCCTTGCCAAGATTCCAAGATCCCATCCATTGTCCTCCAACTCATAAATGCTAGCCCACAACTTCTCCTTCTCAAGGGGGAACCTCCATAACCATTTCCCTAATAAAGCCATATTCCTCTTCCTAATGTTCCCGAGCCCCAACCCTCCCGACTTCTTATCCCTAATCACCATCTCCCACCCCACCTCTATGGTCCCTCTTCTCTTCACCTGGTTCCCACAAGAAGTCTCTCAACAACTTTTCCAATCTATTAGACACCTCTGTTGGAATCTTGAACACTAATAAGAAGTAGATGGGTAGGTTGGCTAAGGTTGCCCTAATTAGTGTGGTCCCCCCACCAAGAGACAGGTAATTCTTTTTCCAAGAGGCAAGTCTCTTCTCAAATCTTTCCACCACCGGATTCCAGAACCTTCCTTTCTTGGGGTTGTCTCCCAGGGGTAGACCTAGATAACTCAAGGGCCAACTTGAAACTGCACATCCCAATAGCTCTACACACTCCCTGACCTCCCATTCCTCTAAATTCACTCCCACTACACAATTCTCAAATTCACTTTAAGGTTGGACATCTGTTCAAAGAGTTGTATTACCCTCTTCAAATTTCTAATCCAATTCAAGTTTTTTTTTTTTTGATAGATCTAATCCAATTCAAGTTCCTACCTTCACAGAAAAGAATTGTGTCATCTGCAAATTGTAAGTGGGTAAGTGGGATCTCTTCCCTTCCTAACCTCCACCCTCTTAGTAAAATCCCTTGAATCTGCTCTATGAATCAATCTACCCAGAACATCTACAATCAGGTTGAACAAGAAAGGAGAGAGTGGATCTCCTTGTCTTGTTCCCCTAATAGCTAAGAAGAAATCCACCACTATCCTATTTACCAGTACTGAGTAATGTCAGTTCATGACACATCCCATTGCCCATTTACACCATCTTCCCCCGAACCCAAAGTTAACCATCACTTCCTTCAAAAAGGACCAATCAATCAAATCGTAGGCCTTTTCTAAGTCCAACTTACACACCACCCTTTTTTACTTTTTTAAAGTTCTCCACACTCTTATTGGCAATTAGAATTTGATCAACTATTTGTCTTCCCTTCACAAAAGCTCCTTGGTTTGGTGCAATACTGTCGGGTAGGACTTGCTTTATCCTTAGAGACGACACCTTTGCAATTATCTTGTACAGACTATTTACCAAGTCGATTGGCCTAAAGTCTTTTGGATGAGAGGCATCTTTCTTCTTTGGGATCAAAGCAATAAAAGTGGAATTCAACCCCGGATTAATTACTCCCCTTCTATGAAATTCATCAAACACTAGCACTAGATCCCTTTCCAAGATTTCCCAATAGTCTTGATAAAAGGCCATTGTGAAACCATCCGGGCCTGGAGCTTTCATTCTGTCCATAGAATGTGAAACCATCCGGGCCTGGAGCTTTCATTTTGTCCATAGAAAACACAGCCTCCTTTATTTCCTCCACCTTAAATCTCCTTTCCAACCTTTGCCTATTTTTTGCCCCTAGATCTAGCCAATCCAACCCTTCTAACCACACCCTCCCACTCAAAGGCCTTCTAAAGATGGATTTATAATGATTTATAAAAGCTCCTGCTATCTCATCTTGGTGAGTCAGAATTGACCCCTCCACTTCCAGCCTTGAGATAGAATTCTTATTTCTCCTACCATTTGCTACAGTATGAAAGAATTCAATATTTCTATATCCCTCCTTCAACCATTTAAATCGAGATTTTTGTCTCCAACATACTTCCTCCTTGTGCAAGCAATCCTCCAACTACCTCCTCAAACCCCCTCTTTGTTCCTTGTCTCCCTCCTCAAATTCTCCCTTTTCCTCTTTCAGATCCAACTCCTCAATCTGATCATGTTGAGACACAAATAAAGGGAATACAAGTGTACAAGAAAAGGCCACGTCAACCTTTAAATAATGTAACTGACAGCCAACCACTAGAACAAACTAAATAACAAACTGGACAAGTGGAGAGGCTGATATAACAGAATTGTAACATAAGTGTATAAATAAGGAAAGGAAGCCAGAAGAGGAAATATTGATTTTGGGAATACAATCTCTCTCTCTCTCTTTCAGGAGGCAGGCTTCCTCGAAAAAGTCCCTGAGTTAGGTATTTGCTTCCTTTCTTCTAATCTCCCAAACACCAAACGGTTCCACTCCCTAATCTTTGGTTTCAAGAACTAGAGTTTCCTGTGAATACTTCATGCCTTTCCATTCCACTGAGGGATTACAGTGGTCCCACCATTCTCTGACTTTCTTGGTAAACCCTAGGTGGAGTAGCCACATATTTTCAAATCTGAATGGGGAAGGTCCATCACCCCTCTGTTCCTCCTTAGAAATCACTATACGCCAATGATCTAAAGTGAGCCTAGTCAATGCCCTAGATATTACCCCCCCCCAGTGTTCTTCCCAGTCTGTTGAGATTAAAAACCTGCCCAACTTAGAGTAAATCGGGTTCAATTGAAGATTGGACCAAGTGTATGTCTTGTGGGCTACTGGGATTTCTTTAAGCTCAAAAGCATCCACAAAGAGATTAAATGTTCTCATGCTTGTTGTCACTCTTTGATTAGGGTTATTAGTTTCCTCTATGAATCTAACCACATTAAAATCTTCGCCCAAACACCAAGGCCCTTCCTAAAGTCCCCTAACATCTCCTAGTTCCTCCCACAACTCCTTCCTCTCTCTGTAACCATTTGGTCCTAACTACTTGCTCTTTCATGACATAAGATTTTCCATCAACCAAGATATAATAATCAAGTGTAGACCTCTTGTCATCAAAAGAACCATCCTAACTTGATTTCAGAGTCCCTTGTCAAATATGAAAGAATATTTTCAGCTGCCTCAATGGGAAACCCATGGCATGTGCATACACATACATATATAGTGTTCGAAAAGCACCGGGCACAAGTAAAGTGCAAAAGGTTTTTTTTTTTTTTGCCCCAAGGAACAAGGCAAGGCAAACACCTTTTTGAAGCAAGGCACAAAAATTAAAAAATAGAAAAAACATCATCATCCAAGCCTTATCCCAACTATATATTAATTAAAAATACAAATTTAAGTTTAAAAGAAACTAAATGTTTTAAAAAGCATATTGCCTCAAATTATACAATTGAAGCATGTTAAATTTTCAATATCTTTGTTTTTTCCCAATTGCATTACTTCAAGTAGTTAATGTGATGTTAAACATTTTGCATTCTCAATTCTACAAGCCACCTCGATCCAAGCCCCTTGAGTGATGTTAAACATTACACATCTTAGTGCATTGATGGGATGGTTAATTCGTTTCTTTTAACCTCAATTGTCAAGGGTTCAAATCTCGCCATTAACATTTATCCCAGATGGGGATGCTACTCTAAATTTTGAAATAGGTTGTTATTTGTAATTGGACAAGGAATTACACCTTAAGAGGTGTGTCAACAAGCTACTAATCCTCCTAGAAGCGGATTTTGTTCCCACATCTCACATCAAAGCAAGTGAGGTTAAGAAAAATAGGAAGTACCTTTTGTATTGAAAAGAAGAAGCTAAAGAAGAATGAGGAGCAGCCACCTTTGCATCCCAGCCATTGTCCATGATACCATGTATGCTTTCAATGTCCCTATGCCACAACCTGTTACTTTCTAAGGGAAAATTCCACAACCATTTGCATAGCAAAGCTGTATTTATATGAATCAAGTTCCCAATTCCTAATCCACCTTTTTCTCCTTGGATTTTCTGACCTACTCTCACTTCACCAAATGGTCGTTCCTCTCAACCCGTGATTCCCAAAAGAAGTCTCTCATGTACTTTTCTAATTGCCTAGCCACTTTAACCAGTATGCAAAGAGTTGATAGGTAATAAATCAGTAGGTTATCCAAAGTGGATTTGATTAGGGTTATTCTCCCTCCCATTGAAATGTAATTCCTTTACCAAAACAGCTAGCTTCTTAGCAAACCTATCCAGCACTGACCTCCAAAAACTTTCTGCTCTTAGGTTCCCACCTAAATGAAGTCCTAAATATTCTAGTGGCTAGTTTTTAACCTCATAGCTTAGGAGCCCTGTCAACAACAGAATTTCTTCCTCCTCCAAATTCATCCCCACTACACAACTCTTTCCCAAATTTACCCTCAAGCCAGAGGCACACTCAAAGGTGTTAACCAGTTCCTTTAGATTTCTCATGGCTTATTCATTGTTTCCTTCACAAAACACACTAATTTCATCTGCAAATTGGAGGTAGTAACGGCTATCACATTCCTCCCCACCCTCTAGCTTCTAATTGTGCTATCCATATCTTCTTTAATAATCATTCTACTTAGAACCTTAGTAATCAGTGTGAACAGGAAGGGAAACAAGGGATCACCCTACCTCAACCCCGTTTTAGTTGGAAAGCGATTTCTACCCGCTCCATTGATCAAGATCGAATAATTCACTGAACTGATACAAACTTTGACCCACCTCCTCCAATTCTTCCTCTCTTCCTTAAATGCCTTAAGAAACTTGAACTAAAGAGACTTACCACAAAGCACAAAAGGTCATGAGATTTAAATGGAGAATGGTCATAGGCCTACTCAATGTCAAGCTTGAAGAATAAAACCTAGCAAGCAATTTCCTCCATATAACCCAATCTTCCAAATTCATCCCTAGCAACTTTTCTTAGCTTCCTATCATTGTTTGACAGTTGGTCTTGTTCTTTCTGATTAAGCTCTCTAATTTCCTCCAATACCTTATCTTTCCTTCTCCAGATACAGCCTAATTCCACTTTGCTCCATTTTTTAATTTTTTTATTCCAAGCACTTCAACTACCTACAAAAAGCTTGCAATGGGGTTCCATGAACCTCTGCTGCTCCCCACTACTCTTCTAAGTTATCTTCAAAGCTTGGGACTTCACAAAACATGAACTCAAGATTGAAAGGTGTTGGTTTCTGATGTATGGAACCTACCTTTAAAACAATCAGTCTATCATCAGAAGCTAGGTGTTGTGTAGCTTCCTAAATCACATCCATTAACAACTCATCAAATTTTGTTGGTTAACAAAGGATTCAAAAGTTTGCATTGCAGGTGTTCCTTTGCTCCTCCTCTCTTCTCACCTTTGGTGAATAAAACAACATTAAATAATCATTGATGCTTCTACTTTTCATATCAACTCTCCTGCTCTTGGAAACGGACATAGCTTCCCCTTTCACATCAACTCTCCCTCCCTTCTTTATCCCTTTCTCAATCTTTTCATTTCCTCCGTATCTCCAAGCCACGACGGTTGCTGCTCTCATCTGTTTGCCATCGCCATTAACTCATCTCTTCTTTAATGAGTTAATGGTGAAGATTGGGGCCAGGTAATTACATTATTGTTTATTTCCTAACAATTTGTTTTCTACCTCTAAAAAATTGGAGCATAGAAAAACTGGTTAATGTATTTTTACATCTAATTCCACATGTATAGTTTGTTATTATGAAACAAGGATTAAATTAAAATTTGACTACTACATTACAAATGACACAAAGTTTTATACCTTTCACAAGAAGCTTTTTTGATGTTTCATCTAGTTCTTCCTCCTCAGCACAAGACCTTCTCTCCATCCGATAAGAACCTTTCCTAGAGAGTGCTCTCTGCAGAAAAAAAAATGGAAGAGTAAAGGGAAAACAATAGTTACAAATAACACACCTTAGGTGTTAATAGGTACATAGTACTTACCATCATTTTTGGGCTCCCTGAGCCCTTATCTGTCGATTGTGCCAGACTTTCAATATCCAATACCACATTGGCAGTTTTTTCCATGCTCATATTCTAGTTCTAATAACAAAAAGAAGTGTATTGGTAAGGATGGTCTGAAAACCATTTTTGGTTTTACAAAGTAGAAACATTTATGTTTTTTTTATATATAATAGACAATTTTATTAAACCAATCAAAAAACAGCTTTTTATATGCAAAGATAAATTACAAAGAAGCCCAGAACTACTAAACCCTAATATCTCCTGGTTAGCAAGGGTATCAGTCAGTCCATTTGCTGATCTTCTAACCCATCTGTAACTGACCTCAAATTCATTTGGTAGGTGCCTCAATTCTAACATAGTTAGTTTGTGACTACACACACCTAAGCTGTCCATTTGCATCCAATTTACAACTAACAAGGAATCACCTTCAACCTTAAGATTTTCTGAAGCCTAGCTGTTTTGTAATCCTTAATCCTTGCTGAAGAGCAAGTATTTCTGGCCCTCATAGAGTCTCCATGACCCCTGAGCACAAAGCCACCAATCTGCTTTCATAGTTTCTGAATGCTCCACTCATAAATGATTATGTTGTTTTCTGCGCCATCATTCATAAATTTATAAATTTCTGATTGATTTGTTTTAGTTTTTAAGTTCTTTCAGCCTCCAAAAAGCTAGTTCTTTACTGATTTGAGACAACGTACACCTCATTGGATAACTTGTCTATGATAATTTCACTTGGAAAATAAGGTCCAACAGCTTTTAAAACATACATATAATTTAAAAATGCTATAACCCTAGGCATAATGCACATTAAGGTTGGCTGGATCAAAATTTAAGATTCCATGGGCACCTCATGAAACATGGATGTGGAACTGCTGGGATAAATACAATATTAAAATCTTTGTTTAATTCACTTTCTTACTATCAAGACTTCTGCGGAGGCACCTTTTATGAACCATATCCACTGCCTACCAAATGTAATGTATAGAATATTCCATCAAAGTCTTACAACCAAGTTAATTGGAAATTTTTGGACTATACATTAAGAATGATGAACTTTGGATCAAAATGGAGGAATTGGATTAAGTGTGCAGTAACAGCTCTGTCTTTTTCAGTTTTGGTGAATGATACCTCTTATGGAAATTTTACAAGGACCTTAGTGGTTGAAAGAGCTTCCTCAGCTGGTCTCATTAAAGGTTTCAAAGTTGGGGAGGTGAGGTGGTGAAGTAGAAGTGGCTCTTCTTCAATTTGTAACGTGGCACAAGGACAATCAGGAAAGATCAAAGAAATACTTAGATGGTTTGAAGTGGTGACTGGTCTTCACAAAAACATCACAAAAGTGAGATTATGACATGCTACCAATAAATTAGACAAGCTACCAACAAAGTATTTGGTAATTCCTTTGACAGCCAAATGTATTTCTAAATCGAGTTGGGAACCTATTGCAGAGATATTGAACAAGAAGCTGGCCTCTTGGAAAACAAAATATCCATCAAAGGAAAGCAAATTTGCACTAATCAAAAGTCTATTATCATCAATGCCATCATATTACTTATTATTGTTCCACATTCCATCTAAAATGACAGCTCTTTTGGAGAATGCAGGACTTTTTGTTGAAGGATTGGAAGGAAGAACCATATAAGACTTAGATAGTTCCCAAAGAAAATTGCCTTGAGAAATGCTATGAGACCTGAAGCAGTATCTTGGGGTATGTAGAAGGAAAGAAACTGCACGATTTTTGAAGGCAAAGTGATGCCTATAGAAAGTGCAATTTGAAAAGTGGTCACAACTATCCATTTCTGGCCTGCTGCTCAGTACCACTTCAAACAGTTACCTCACAATGCTTAGTTCAATTCTAAGTTTTGTTTTCCTTAAACTTACAAACATGTAAGTTTGCTTGTCTTTTGACTATTGTCATACAAATATGTAGTGTACTGTACCTCATTGTACATGACTAGTACATGTTAAATTACTTTGGAACAAAATATAATACATTACCATTACCCATTACCGAATGTTGGTCCCAGCTATTTGGGGTCTTGGGAGAGATAGACTGGGTACAGTCCTAACCTTTGGAATTTTTGCACATGAAGTGGCCATGCTCAGACTCAAACACATGTTCTAACGCTTTACCATTTCAGAAATAAAAGGAATATATGAAAACCATATATATCCATTTAGAAATAATACAAATAAAATTAACAATACTACTTGAAAAGGATTAGATATTCCTAGGCTAGCTATTGAACAAGATAAAAGGTTTTTTAACCCAATTAAATCTTCAAAAGGAGTAGAGTCTAACTTTGTAACTGATGAATTATGGTTAGAATTAAAGCATACTTTTCACTGGCATAGAAGATCCAAACTTGGAAAAATCAATCTTAGATAGAAGCCAAAAATCTTGCTAATATAATGAAAAATAGCTAGAATATGTCAGTAAATTGGAAAGCACTATATGAATTGACTAGTCAAACTAAGACCAAACTATTAAAAATAATAGTTGTCCAATTACTGAAGTCCAGCAGGAGAACCATATGAGACTTAGATAATTCCCAAAATGATAAACCTCAAGGATTTAAAAATCATAAAATAATTGTTTTTAGAAGACTTTGCAAACGATAATCATAAAACAATTTCTAGTACAGAAATAACTACCTCATGAAATATCCTGTACATTAAGAGAAATTTTTCTATGCCACAGGAATACTATCTCTGCAGGAATAGTTTATTAAGGAAATAATCTGTATAGAAATAACTACCCCAAGATTTGCTAAAGATTACATGGGTCTGACAAAAATGATTTTAGTGAAAACGGGAAAATTATTAAAATCCATATTCTTCAAGAACATAGAGATGTATGTTTTAAGGTATTCATACAGATCAAACATGGTGAGATGATAAAACTTCTAGTTTTAATTCTTGAAATTTATCAAATTCTTTATCTTCTATAGTGAAGCTCTGAAAAGAAGAAAATACTTACAACCTAATAATAGTCAGGCTTGAAATGGCCCAGCATGTTTTCTTCTTTACATTCACTGTTACACACTAAATGCAATATTCACCCACTTATTTCACAGGAAGACTTAATAAAGATATTCAATTCTCCAACTTTCCCTATGGTTTCAGACTTTTAACATTTCACCAAGAAACGGCCCCTGAAAATATTCACTAAATCATATAGTTCAAAATCATTTGAAGATTGCAATGTTTGGTGCAGAGACTCTTTAAGGTTGCTCCCATTAAAAAATGGGTTAATTTACTGAATATGTAATAGTGGCAAGTTAGAAGGGTCCATTTTTTGTGGACCTTGAGTGCCCAGACTTGAGCAACACCGGATTTTAGAACATGGAGGAAACTGTGTGTTTTGTTTATTTAATTGCTTTCTCAAACTTCCATTCCTTATCTAACCAATGATCCTACTAGATCTGTCCCCAGTACCACCATTTGTGGTCAATCCATAACATTTAAGCTGCCTAAACCATGCCTTCGGATTAGTATTACAAAGAGCACATACCCAATATTGAACTTATAAAAAGTTAGAGTGGGACTATGTGCTGAATCATGTGGCAAAATACTCAGTTCAACTCAACCAAACCTAATTCCAACTATATATGGTTTGCTACATGAATCCTGTTTCACCATTCTGCATAATTCAGTGTCATGTCCATTGTTAAATTATGGCTCCTTAAATCATTTCTCACTACTCCAACCATGTCTTTTCTTGTTTGCCCCTAGCTATTATAGACCCTTCAACATGTAACAGATCACTTCTTCTCCTTGGTACTGTACAAGTTCTTCCCTACACGTGATGAAACCACTTAGCAACATAACTAGTGTTAATTTTCCACAAAATGGGCCCTTAAAAGAGCATGTTCTCCAAATCAAAATCTAAAGGAATATCCCTCCTCTTAAAACAAATTTGATCATATTTGTAGATGTGCAACCATCTGATATAACAAAATGCATGGACAAACAGAGAAGCATTAATGCCTCTCATTTATTCAATGGACCCATCAAACTGCATAAAAGAATGGTGAAGCTCCATATTCTTCAAGTTCTCTCTCTTCTCTTTTGTGGTACATATGTACCTTCCTAAAAGTCCAGTTACAATGGCTCTGGTCATTAGATAGGTTGAGTTAGGGAAGATAGAAATATTTAAAACTAGGTCCTTCAATGTGTGGGTCTAGGTTCCCAAACCTGCACAAATAACGTATCAAGGATCCTATATGTCCAAGCTAAACTCGTCTTTGTCCATATATAAATGCTTATTTGCTCAATTATATTATACCAAGCACAAAAGAGACCTAAAACAAAAGTGGGAAGTTCACTTACCGGTATCAACACTTCATCTCAAACAGCCAAGAACCTGGCCTCATCCAACAGAAGTTCTCTGAACAATGAACAGGAAAATTCCTGCATCCAAGCCCAAAATAAAAATATCTCTTTTCAATTTCATCCATAAAAAAAGAAATACGAAAAGGTATCTCCCTTGTTGTTTAATTTCTTAGGAATGCTAATTTTACACACCCATCGAGCATCAAGGACCCCACGCCCTCTCTTTCCACCCATGGCAAGTGGTCTAGAGGTGTAAGGGCTACACGAGTCTACATCGTGAAAACATCCTCAACCATCCATCTGTTCTACGAAAAAGCATGATTTTATGTGATTAACATTTACCTTACTTCAAAGTTCAAACTATTACCCAAAAAAAAAGTTCAAACACGTGGTATACATGCAACTGGCGGGACCCACAGGTTATCATCAAGTATTTGAATCAGTGGGATCCAGGGGCCCACGGTATGGCGGGTCCGGACACCTCTGTCGACATACGAAACATGAAGCCAAGGTGTTTACTGGCTCATGGTATCAGATGTACTTTTGTAGTTTTGTTGGTTTGAAAACTTGAGGGCGTTTGAGTAAAAATGTCTAAATGGGATTTAACCCTTTGATGATTAAAGCGAAGAAAAAAATGAATAAACAAAAATAACAAAACGCATAAAGGAGAAGCTCAGCGGTCGGAAAAGCCGGAAAACAGTGGTTTGTCAGCAAACGAGATTCTTCTCTAAGTTACCCACTTACCCATATGCACCAAGATACTAACCAATTTTTCTGCTAAAGAGATAAAAAATTTAGGAAAAAAAACCTGCAACTTTTGTCCTAAGTTGCTGAATTTTGTATAGAAAACCCATAACTTTAGTTGAGTAATTTATGGAAGAAGAACTCATCTATCAATTGATTATTAAAAAAATAGAATAATCCAACTCTTGAAATAGAGGTTAATAGTGAGTGATTCTATTGAAAACGATGAATGCAGCATTGATTCCTGAAAACCATTAAAGCAAAGTAAATATTTCTAAGATAAGAACCAAATAATAAAATCTCTTGTTCTGAGGGAAAATTTAAGTTTTAATTCTCTGTACGAACTTCCAGGCTCGGTTAAATGAAAACACTCTTTGAAATTCGACTTTAGGAGGCAAAAGGAGATCCGGAACTAGAAGATCGAAGGCCGATTCGCAGGTTGCAGTATTCTCATCAGACCTCCAAGAATCTCCAAATCTCTGAGAGAGAGAGAGAATGCATAAGATTTGCGAGATCTGAAACAATGACCTAGAGAAAGATGGAATTTAGCTGAAGAGCTTGCAAGATCTGTCGAAAGGAAGCAAATTAAAGCAGGTTTCTGCATGAAATTGCAATCAAGCTTTTATCTAGGATCTCTACAGAAGAAGAAAAAAAGGGAGGCAAGTGAGTGTACGGATGGATAGTAAGAGATAACAGAAAGCGACGTCAATTCTAAACAAAAAGCAGAAGAGCAACGTCTCTCTCTCTCTCTCTCTTATTTTCTGCATCCTTCATTAAAGTAGGTATCAGATACCAAAGCATTCAAAGCTCTAACCCAACGATTCTCAACGAGACTACGAGCTGAAAAGAGCCAAACGACCAAAGTCTCTTCGATACAAGTTAATGTGCTCGAAGAACAAGAAAAACAAAAGACTTTGAAGGTACCTTCGTTCGAGGAGATTTTTCTGCCTAAGGGAAGAAGAGGCAATTCCAGAGACGACACAATTTTGACCACCGCATGGAGATACTTCTGCATTGAACACAAAAAATCAAAGATCAGGGAGAAGCACTGAAACAACTAAAAATGGATCGAAATGGGAAGAATGTGGAAGAGAATATCGACATTTCTCGCTGACATTTGAAATTTTAGGTACATTTTCGCGACCTGAAGTTGAGAAGGAGCTCCAAATCGTCTGTTGATCTTGGTTTCGTCCGCCTTCGGACTTTCGGTTGGTTTCAGGAGCAGAAATACGAAATGGGAATGACAGAAGCAGAGAGTGAGCAGTCAGCGGTCTTTCCCTCTGTTTCTCGCATCAGTCGCCTCTCTTTCCTTCTCATCGCTTTTGCCGTTTTGCGCTTTCATATGTCAATGGCCCATGATAAAGGCTTGAAATATCGAAATTGCCACTGGCGAAAGTGATCTGTGTTGCTGCTTCGGAGGACGGAAGGAGACAATGCAGCAGCAGCACCGTTCGCTCTTCGCTGGCGAATCAAGAAAAGAATATATTTTTATTAATTTATATTGGAAATACATATCGTACTGCCGTGGAAATGGACTCACTTGTGTTTGGTTTGTACAGGTCCCCCACCTTTTCCCGTTCCTCCTTTCCCCTACTGTTTCTTTCAAACCAAACACAGCCAGACCTAAGTGAAAAATAAAGAAAACTATTTTCTGAAAAAATAAAAATCCAAATTACCCAATTACCCCCCCCACCCCACACACACCAAAAAGTGATATGTTAAAACTTAAAAGTGAAAGTTGTGATCACCCAAAGAAAAAAGGTAAAGATGGGTGGGTACCGGGTACAGCACTTTTTTAAAGACCGATCCGGAGGTTCAACCATCTCCCCCGGGTCGTGGGTCAGCGGTTTAACCGTTTAGGTTAAATGGGTCAGTTAATAACACAACATATTTTTTATTTTTATTTTAATTTCAATTTTTTGTATTAAAAATTAAAATTTAAGACAAAAAAAAGCATTTTCTTATGAATTTTAAATGGTCGGTGGTAGAGGCGGCGGCGGCGACGTTGGTGGTTATTTTTCTGCCCAACGCCACCACCTCCGCCTCCGACAATGTTGCCAGAGGTGGGTGGAGACAGAGGCGGCAACAACACTGGTGAGCGGAGAAATAACCACCAGCGCCGCCTCCGCCCACCTCTGGCAACGTTGCTGGAGGCGGAGACGAAGGCGGCGGCACTAGTGAATAGATTGCAGGAAGAAGAAGATGAACATTGATTCTGCCCTTTATTGATATTATTTTTCAAAAGTTATCCTATTTTTGAACTTTTTTTAAAAATATTACTTTTACTAATATTAGGGTCCAAAAGTTGCCCTTATATGCTATTATCCCTATAATATATTAGGGATCTAGGCCTCTACCCTCTAGGGTGCTACGCCAATAACATGCCACCTGTTCCATGATTTGACAGAAAATGGAATTTACATGGACTAGTATTTTTACTTCATTTTTTTAAGCAGCTTCAAGGATTCAATTACATGCTGATTAGATTTTTCCATTATGGCCCAATTCACTTTCTTATTCAGGTAAATGTAATTATCTGGGTAAGTTTTCCTTGGGAAACATTTACCCAGGTAAGTGTATTTATCCATGTTCTTTTATTTTCCAAGTAAAAAAAAGGAAATGACCATTTTAACCATAAAAATTCATTATTAAAAGGGACATTTTTGTCCCAAAGTGTTGAAAACTTTCCTCCCATGTGGGAAAGTAATACTTAAGTAAATAAACTTTCGTTGTTCCCCACATTAATCTGAAAAAAAAAAAAAAAAACATAAAATTCTTGGTCAATGAGAACCAAAATCCATTGACCTACTTTTTTCCTTCTCAAAATCTAAAAAAAAAAAAACACCCCCTATATATTACACATTACAAGGGAATTGGGAGTGAGGCAAAACAGGGTGCAATTGGGTATAAAAAATCGGGGTTTGTTCCTCACATAATGCACCTCACAACCCCATCCCACTTTCTAGGGAGAACATCTCCCCATGAATAACAAGACAAATTACAGGAGATGTTCCCATTGTGCGGCTGAAACACATTAAGATGTTGACGTGAGGAGCATGTCCAGCCTCGGGCGTCTACCGTTCGCAATGTGTTTGGTAGAGGCATGTTGTGACGAGTGTTTGAAGCGTTCTAGCCTTTTGTATTAAAAAATGTTTTTTGTTTAAATTACAATATAAGTATGTAACTGAAGATTATTACTTCAAAGAAATTTCCCTGTGCTAGGTTTGCCTTGATAAAAAGTAGAAGAGACAGAAAGTTGTGGAAAACACAAGTTTCTTAAAGTTTTTCCTCAACTATCCCTATTTTCTCTCTTATTTTCTATCAAACCACCCACAGCAGCCTTATAAAAACGTCATAATGTTATTCCCTTAAATTCTATCTAAAAAAGGGGCCATTGTATCCAAACAACCCCTGTACTTAAACACCCCCATAGTTTGCACTTGTCTTAATTATAGGGGTCCAAATGGACAGATTATGATATAATTTGGATTTGAATTCGAATTCGGTTTTGATGTAACCGTTTTTGGTCACGTACCATTTTTTGTGATGTATAAAATTTTTTGGCTAAGTAACTCGTTGTTTGACCCGGTGGTGACGTGCCTTGGTGATGAGCTACTTGGTGGTGAATTCCTTGGGGGAGAACCGCTTGGTGACGAACTGCTTGGTGGCGAACTGCTCGGTGGTGAGCTCCCTGGTGGAGAGCTACTTGGTGACGAACTGCCGGGTGGCAAACTCCCTGGTGGTGAACTGCCTGGGGGCGAACTGCCTGGTGGCGAACTCCCTGGTAGCAAACTGCCTGGGGGCGAACTGCCTGGTGGCGAACTCCCTGGTGGAGAGCTACTTGGTGACGAACTGCCGGGTGGCGAACTGCCCAGTGGCGAGCTCCCTGGTGGAGAGCTACTTGGTGACAAACTGCTTGGTGGCGAACTGCCTGGTGGTGCTCCCTGGTGGCGAACTGCCCGGTGGCGTGCTCCCTGGTGGAGAGCTACTTGGTGACGAACTGCCAAGTGGCGAACTGCCTGGTGGCGAACTGCCTAGTGGTGCTCCCTGGTGGCGAACTCCCTGGTGGCGAACTGCCTGGTGGCGA